GAATTTAGAGTATCCAAAGATGAAACATTACCTTCACCAAGTAAAAACAAGGTAAATTAAGTTATTTATTTTCCTTCACATGTAAGCTTGATTTATCTGTTGAAAATGTAACAATATTGACTAAGAAACAACTTAAATGCAGATAATATTTGTTCTTAAAGGTTGGATTGCCATTTCCGGATAATTTTCCTTTGCCAGAAGATTCCGACTGGCCCAGTCTGGTTGATACAGCAACGAAAGTTATGATGCAGGTCGGATCTATACCAGAGGAGGAAAAAGATCGAAATGTACGAAATTGGGAAGAAGAGCTAATTGGAATTAACAGGATTGATCAGCATTTATCTAGCTCATACTCGTAAGTACGCTGTTGAGATTACATTAATAAAAAAAATATCACAGATATAAGAACTCTACTACAGTGTTATTTATATTTGTAGGAGTATTCCAGATCAAACGAAGCATGTAGCAGAACTCAACAGAAAAATACAAACTTTGGAACGAGAAAATAGACGTTTGAGAGATGAGAATAGAAAAGCGCAGGATCAAGCACAAGCTGCAGTGTTGCAGTTGAGGAAATTTACCGAGTGGTTTTTCAAAAACGTAAAACGACAATGAAAGTATTAAGTTGCAATTTACGGAAACCAGTAGTTTGACAGGTCTGATAATGTGTTCAATCTTAATAGAACCAAATATGATGTAATCAATCCTTTCCTTAGAAGAAATGTACTAATAATACCTTCAATTTCGCCCAATTTTTTGGCAAAAAAGATATTGTAGCGTGTCACATAGCCAAATTGTAAATGTATTTTTATACGAATACTTTAATTAGCATTTTTTTCGAACATTAAACAAAGTGTCTGATAATTTGTAAACTTATTCAGTAAATTTTATGTGTATTCTGACGGATGTTTGAATTTGTCCAAAATAAATTGAACACTATTCTCTCCCTTTTGCATATTTGCAAAAACCTATAGCTTTAAACTTAAAAAATACTGATCAAGAAGTATTTGCAATGATGCATATATAAGTTTTCAAAATAGTAGCTTATCACTTTTAAAAACTATGTTACTTTAAGTATACTGCAAAATTAATTTTTAGATATTATTTATTTTTATCGCGCTGTAAGTATTACATAGAACATTGAGAAGTTACCATAATCTTGTAATAGTTGTAGTTTGGTATTAATATTATTTAAAACCTTAACCGCGGTTTGTTTGTAAACGGATTTTAAAAATTTTGAACGCTATAAGCCCGATTAACAGGAAAGTTATTACACGAATCACGTATAACGAAATCAAATATAAGTTATGAGAAATCTGAAAACTAAATTAAAACTTTCGGTTTTCAACAAATCTTGAATAGCTCGTTAGGCGAGTGCAATAAAATATTGCTGTTTGAAATAAATATTATTAATCATATGATGCTTGAATTTATTTCAACGATTTTCTAGTAACTGAATGAAAGTTTTACAATACATTGTGTTATTTAAACGGTTTTTGTATATACAAATTTAATGACATGACAAGTGGTGCCTTGATATAATTTAAACTGGCATGCAACGTTATGTTGTAACCTGTTTCTGAAATGTACAAGTTTTTGTTAAAGCATTATCGGATGTGCCCAAAACATACGAAAACACTCTTATAGAAGCGGTCGCGAGTTTTGCCGAGTTAATTTGGAAGAAATATATAAAGTTTTCAACCCACTTATTATATTAAGTACATCACGTCTACTTTGTTTTTTTTAATTAATTAATATTTAAAAAATACTTTTTTAAAGCACTATCAATATTAATCACGTTCAGCTCCTAGTCGCAGCTAATCATATTGAATTTTAATCTGCAGGTTTACATACTTTTCGTTATTTAATCTAAGCATGTCATTCTACTGTTTAAGTATATACACCATATATCGGGATAGTTGGGACAACGTATCGAAAGTACAATTTGGATAATTATATAAGAATTCTCAAGTGTTGATAATAATTGTTAACTGGTTTATTACATGTTCTGTTCATAAAATTCCCTCACTTTATTTCGAATTCTAATCATGCCTCTTATTCAGGATATCTATCTGATTTTACTCTATCCGATTGGTATGTGAAGTCACTGCAGGTAAAAAATACTCAAGTGGCGTTACTAGAAGATTTTGGACGAATAAGTCGATTTTCGTTTGGATTGAATCGATTTTGTCCAAGAGCCCAAACCATTTAAATTTGGAGAATCTATTAAAATTTATTTTCTATGAATCGGCTTCAGCTTTACGTTCCGAAAAGGACGGTCACTTTAAAAAACGAAATCCCAATTTAGAAGTAGCTATTTGAATTACGATTATTTTGTTAAGTATTAGTTAAAATAAATATTTATTTTAAATTAATATCCAACCACAAGTGGCAGAATATCCATTTAAGAATTGATGCAACAATAATAAACCTTTAATGTTAAGTTATGACTGTATGTACAACTGCTATATTTCAGCTATTGAATTAGTTACAGCATTACTGTTATTAAGTTTTTAGTGTTATATTTGTCTGTGACCTGTTTAGATGCCTTTAAATCGGATCTATTTTATGAAGTATTAAATTGTAGTTTTTTATAGAAATATATTTGTTGTAAATAAAACTAAAACTGACAGCGTATTTCTAGTTTACTTATTATTCCTATATGAGAATTATGTTGTTAGAACATTTAAATTAATAGTAATATTTAAAATACTGTTTCTAAATGAACAACAGACAAAGAATTTCCAAAACGTTTTATTGAGTTATTTCTCCTACGAATTTAGTTTCAATGGAAAGGCCGAATCTTTCCACGTAATTTCTGCTTCTGAAGAAGAAAGTTCGTATCAAAACAATGTAGATTTTTTTGTCACTGCGACCGTTTCCTAAACATTTTTATTAGACGTTTTGCTTCAAAAATTAATTTACGAATACTTTTTTAGACAAACTGAGATCAGTTAACATTAAATAGTCCGGGAGGCAGGAGTCTTTTTGACCTAGTCATTTCATGCCGGCGGATATTAACAGTAAAAGTAGATGCCTTATAGCCAATGCTGAAAAGTGCCGTCTGCTGGTCTAGTAGCAGTGGAAGCGAGTGTGGGATGCTCAGGAACATGCCCAGAAAAGTTTTTCATTCAAAATCATTTTAGACAACCTGAATTTTTTCCATAAATTAAAGACTTGAAAATAAAGTCAGTCAGACAAAAATAAAGGAAATAAAATTATTTTAAATTGATTGAAAAATGTTCACATGATTTTGAATATGTATAGAAATATGAAAATGTGAATCAGCTGCATTTATAGTGGGGGAAAGACCGTTAGCCCAAGCAAGAATGCATGATTGCGCTCATATATCTATGACGCGCGGAATTTTCAGTGGTCCGACTAACGATTTTTTTCCCAACTAGCAATCAGCTGACGAATATTTTCACATTTCTATTGATGAATACTGTGCAGAATACGCAGCAGGCACAAAAAAAATCTAATATGGAGCAGGTCGAATGGCATATGACTCACGAGGTTCGGAGATTATCATTTGAAAAACCAAATCAACACACATAGAGCCGTATAATTTGGAAATTAGATTATTTAAGACATTTCCTTAAAAAAATGTGTCACAATGAATGGGGAAAAAATTGTAAATGTTATACCGGAGTGCTAGTTAGACCTGATCTCGATATTTTGGAGGAAGATATTTTGAACCGAGCGGTAATAATTTTGAGACAATATACATTCGTAATATCCAGCCTAAACCATTGCCCGAGGATTGAAGTGCTGACTTCTTGATAAAAGGAGAATGCGAAGTTCCACAAAAACTAATCAATTATTATAGTAGTTATATCTACTAAATAGATAAAATGCCTCTAGATAAAAATCTAGCGGCATAAAAACATTACTCAAAATAAACCTCTCCCTCCCGGACTAAAAGAACTATATATATTTACGTAATGTTAATTAGGCAGATTACCTTGAAAAACATTGTTGCCGTTTTTCTAATATAGTTTTTTGCAAATTTCTCAGTTTTTAATAAAAACTAATTTTTTGTACTATTTTTTCTGTACTCCTAAAACAACGCCAGACAACACCTTCAGAGGAATGATGCCAATTTTGAGTCACCCTGTATGTACTCC